GGCAGCCACCTGCAAGGAGCTGCTGCTGGCTCACCCCAGCCTGCCCGACGGTACTGGGGTGCACATGGGGACCCCCGACGTTGGCCCTGGATCCAGCCAGTCCTCCCCACTGGCCAACATCGGGGTGGGGGGGAGGGCAGCTCTTTGCTATTAAGAAGGGATGAGGGTTTGGGGTATGAGTTCAACTGGGTTTCATGGGCACCCCTGGAGGAACAGGATGGCAGCCAGGCTGCATCCCAGGAGGGTGGAGGTTGCAGCCAGGGATGTGCCACGAGCTGACGTGGAGTGGCACCATGTTGCATCCTCCCTGTGCCAAAAAACAGGTGCCAGGAGCTCCCCTCTGCCTCTCTCCAGGGCAATACTACATTGACCCCAACCAGGGCAGCGCCCAGGACGCACTGGTGGCCTTCTGCAACTTCACAGCAGGGGGTGAGACCTGCATAGCCCCCGTCCACAACCAGGTATGGGGGTGGCTTTCAAGGAGCAGCTTCAGCCCCACGTTAGCCCTCGGGGTGGGCGAGGACAGGGGTTAGTGGGGCTGGAGAGGGACAGTGTGGCTGGTTCCTTGGCGTGGTGACCGCTGACATCGCAGGGAGATGTTGGAGCAGTTTGGGGTGAGGATCCTGGTCACGGTGAGTGACCAGGCTGCAGGGACGGATCACATGCATGGGCCGGTATAGCTGGCTCCTTGTCCTGGTGGTGCCACTGTCCCCTGCTGGGACAGGGTGACATGGTCCCCACTCCCCACAGATCCCCATCAAGGCTTGGCTGAGCACCTACACCTCCGAGGACACCTTTGAGTGGTTCAGCACCCTGCCTGGGGGCTTCCTGGTGAGTGCCCAGCCGGGACAGCCAAGGGGACACGAAGCCCATCTCATGGGGTCGGGGTTCTCCTAGTGCCTGTCCCGCTGTGGCAGGGCAGTGCCCACGCACAGGGTCCCACTGGCTCTGCGCAGTGGGATGTGACACCTCCTGCAAGAAAATCCAAACCAGAGCTTTAGCAGGCGACTGAATCCAGCTTTGACTGGGCTGGGGAGCACAAACCCCTCCAAGCAGCCCCCGCTACCTGGTTTTCTCCCTCGTTGCCCCTGCAGCTGGAGTACGCAGGGGCCAGCCCGGTGCAGCTCCGCTTCCTCCGCCTGCACAGCAGCCTGGCCACCCAAAAGATCTCCTACTCCTGCAGACCGGCCCCCGAGCAGGGCCAGCCCCAGCCAGAGAAGGAAATTCACTTCCTGGCCGACTCCCGGGAGCAAAGCTATGCAGCCAGCCTGCAAGGCTGCGTGGTAAGCCTGGCTGTGGCCGGACCCTTTTCTATGCCTGGAAAAGCCCCCCGACATTTGCAGAGCCCCTCGGCACATGGTTGCACCCCCAGGGTTCGGGATAGACCTGGTGGATGAGGCTTTACACGGCGGGATGGGGTTGGGGAACATCCTCTCCCCGGGCCCAAGGGGCTGCCCTGGTGTTGGGGAGCAGGGTGGGACGTGTCAGGGGATGGGATGGGTTCCAGGGGACACGGGGGAAGCCCCCTCTCTGGAGAAGCTGTGAAGGGCTGGGGATAGAGCCCGTCAAGGAGCAATTAGTGCAGGGACAGTGGGTGCTCAGAGAGGGTCCTTCAGGCCCACCAGCCGAGGGTTTTGGTGCCGCTCAGCTGCCTCCGGTGCTCGTTTCAGCTGGACAATGAATCCTCCATCACCGACACCATCTTCCAGTTCACCACAGAGGAGCTCTCCCTGCTGCCCCTGCGGGACCTGGCTGTCTTTCACAACGGTGACACCTCACACCAGTTTGGTTTCACAGTTGGACCAGTTTGCTTCAGCTGAAACCGGTGACACCCAAACCGAGCCAGCCGGTTCCCTCTGCACTCAAGACCCATCCCGCTGGGGACATGTGGAGGCTGGGGGTGGCACGGGGCTCCCACCCACCCCCCAGAGCTGCTGGTCCTCTTTTGAGATACATGTTTGTAGCTGCATTATGCCACGGACTACACTTCCTTCTGGAGTAGAAGAATATTGTTTACAAAAGTAATTTCTCTATAAATTATATATATTATATATATATGAGAAGGGTGACTGTAATGACTGATTAGGGGAGGCTCGTGCAATTATGACCACTGGGAACTGTTTGCTAAAGAAAAAGGCAACAAGCGAAACCACTACCATCCTGGGAGAAGGGGAAGGAAAGGGGCTTTTCTTTGCCTCGGTCAAGTGCAACTTGCTTGGAGCTTCATCCTGGCGGGACCAGGCTGAGAAGCAGCGCCAGGGAATCCTGGCAGCCCCGGCGGGCAGGTCCGTGCTGTGCTGCCTGCTCACCGCGGAGCGAAGGGACTGCAGGCTCCTGCCCCCGGCTGGGGTGAGCCCCCCACGGCTCCAGCCCAGCCAGGCATCAGGGACCGAAAAGAGGTGAAAAATGCAAACCCGTCCCCCCAGGTCTGGCTCTGTTTCAGGTCTGCACCTCACGCGGGGGTCAGAGGGCCTTTAGAGGTGTGGAGCTGGGTGCTATAGCAAGGCTGTGCTACAGGGCAGCGTCGCTCTGGTGGGGCAGGGGTGGGAATTGAAGCTTTTTGACTCCTGTGCTGCAGCACCGTTACTTATTGCTTTATTTTGATTGGTCCCAGCACTGTTTCCCTTGCCTCTAACTGTCCCGCAATCACTGGCGGGTACGGGTGAGTCCCGAGGGCAGAGGGTTTTTTATGTGGCACCTGAGCTATAGTGTAGCACCCCTGTTTCTCTGGTGCACAGCCCAGACCCCCAGATCTCAGCTGCCTTTGTGCTGCACCCCTGGATTTCTCAGCACCCTTCACTGCCTGGGCTCTCATGCAGAGCTTGCCCGTGTGCCCAGGCTGTCCTCATCGTGTCCGGGTGAGCTTGGGCATCGATGCCAATGCCCGTGGAGCACTGCAGCAGCCAGGCCGTACCCTGCGCGGGGGTCGAGGAATGCAGCAAGTGAAGCTTTTGGGGGGGCCACAGTCCCTAGGGAGCGGTTGAAGCAATGCCAAATTGTGTGGGCAAGCCATAGTGCTCTTTGCTAGCTCGGTCCCTGGTGCAGCGCCTTTTAGTGGGGGGCAGCAGCCGTCCCTGCTGTGCTCGGTGTGTGTCACCAGCCGTGTTGGCCAAGGGGGGGGCACGGGGGCAGCGCTCAGCCAGCAGACACTTCCAGGCAGGGATTGAGCGCCTTTGAAAAAGGGTTTTTCCACGCTTGCGTTTAATTTCTATTTGCCGCATTATGCTGGGTGTGGTGTGGGGCACCCCTCCTGTAAAACCACCCCCCGGCTCTGCCCTGCGAGGGCATGATGCCAGTCCTGGCCCTGCCTGTGGGCCTTTCCCCCCCACCCCAGAGCTGCCTCCACCCCTGTGAGACCCCCCCCCGGCACTGTCCCCTTGCTCACAGCCAGCCGTGGGGACACGCAGGCGCGTTGTCACGGGTGCAGCCAAAACCCCGATCCCCTTCGCGCAGGGCGGTGAAAGGGGAAGAGGAGCCATTTGTGGTCGAGCTGGCGGGGGAGCAGCCAGTTCCCACTCACTGCCCAGTGCCCGCAGCGCGGGGAGGGGGTCAGGCAGCACCCGGGGTCTGGAACATCCCGCGGGTGCTGGTGATAGACACCCTGTGCAGCAAATTGCAAAGGAAAATTTAAATTCCAATTCAAGGAACATGTTAGATCCTGTGGAAAGAAGCAGAGCAGACTGTTAGTGACATCAGTCACAACATTTTTCAGGGCAGAGTACTTCTATTTTTATTTTTATTTTTTTTTTTTTGCACAAATTGCTCATTTTAGCAGCATTTTCCACTGGGTTTTTGCAGAGGAGGAAAGCGGCACGCACAGTCCACACCTCACCTCAGCCCCTGGCTATGCTGGCCATGACCCAGAGGAGCTGCAGCTGCCAAAAAAATTGTGGGTGCATTTTCAATGGCAACTTTTGAGGAAACATTTTAAAGAGAAGCTGCACGTTGGTGGGTTTATTTTTTTATTAATTTAAGCAGCACACGCACCCTGAATAACTCCCAATTCCACCCCTCTGGTCATAAAGAAAAACACACTTGCTACCAAAAGTGGGGTTTTGCCTGCACCCCCATATTCCCTTCTCAAGCAGGGAGTTACACGCTGGCAGTCACCGGGTGCCTTTGTGGGCATCAACACCTGTTTGCACTTGGGGAAACTGAGGCAGGGGCAGCTCCAGCGCTCGCTCCTCCTGCTCCCTGGTGTAACGGGGATGGCCAGCGTGCCCGATGGCCAGCGTGCCCGATGGCCAGTGTCCCCGATGGCCAGCGTGCCCGATGACCAGTGTGCCCGATGACCAGCATGCCCGATGGCCAGTGTCCCCGATGGCCAGTGTCCCCGATGGCCAGCGTGCCCGATGGCCAGTGTCCCCAATGACCAGTGTCCCCGATGGCCAGCGTGCCCGATGACCAGTGTGCCCGATGACCAGCATGCCCGATGGCCAGTGTCCCCGATGGCCAGTGTCCCCGATGGCCAGCGTGCCCGATGGCCAGTGTCCCCGATGGCCAGTGTCCCCGATGGCCAGTGTCCCCAATGACCAGTGTCCCTGATGACCAGTGTCCCCGATGGCCAGCGTGCCCGATGACCAGCATGCCCGATGGCCAGTGTCCCCGATGGCCAGTGTGCCCGCGAGCAGCAGGCACCTGTGTGCTCTTGATAAAGCCGCATCTGGGAAGCAAAGTTCCCCTTCAGCCTGCGCTGCCTCTCTCGGGGAAAGGCTGGGGAACAAAATACCTTCCGTATTTTGCAGCTGGGGTTGCGATCCCTCAAGCGATGCCGGGGGCGGGGGGGGGGGGGGAAACCCAGCTGAAACACTCGTGGGCACTTCGAGGGGCCCGGTGCTTGTGATGGGTGGGGAGGGAGGGAGGGAGGGAGGGAGGGATGGGGCGAGGAGCCGAGGGAAAGCGAAGCCCCCGCGGGACCAGACTCCGCTCTGCCGGGGGAGGCTGAGCCGTGGAGGCGGTGCGGGGGCAGTCGAGGGGTGCGGGACGGGGACACCCGCCCCACGCCGTGCTCCCGCCCCACGCGTGCTCCCGGCCCGGCCCCGCCGCACTACAACTCCCGGGGAGCCCCGCGCCGCGCGTCAGGCGCCCGCGCCGGGCCGGGCCGAGCTTGAGCTGAGTTTAACTGTGCTGGGCCGAGCTGTGCTGAGTTTAACTGAGCTGGGCCGAGCTGCCCCGGGCCGCTCCGCACCGCCGCCATGCAGGTGAGCCGAGCCGGGGGGCGGGGGGGGGGGGGGGGGGGGGGGGGTGCGCTCCGGGCACGGCCCCGCAGCCTCGGCCGGGGGGGTGTGTGTGGGGGGGTGGGGGGGGCTGCGCCCAAGAATCACCCCCGAAACCCTGCACCTCGCTGCGGACGAGCGTTAGTTAAAGGCCGCGGAATCGCCCTTCACCCTCCGGCACCGCGTCCTCCCGCCGGAGCTTTGCCCCGATCTTCCATTTGCCCCGGTCCCGTTTCACCCAGATCCCCCTTTCACCCCGGCCCCGTTTCACCCGGATCCCCCTTTCACCCCGGCCCCGTTTCTCCCTTATCCTCTTTCATCCCAATCCCCCTTTTGCCCTAGTCCCGTTTTGCCTCAATCTCCGTTTCATCCTGATCCCCCTTTCGCCCCGGTCTGTTTTGCCCCAAGCCCCGTTTCACCCCAGTCCTGTTTCACCCCGTTCCCCCTTTTACCGCAGTCCTGTTTCGTCCTGATCCCCCTTTTGCCCTGGTCCCATTTCACCCCGATCCCCATTTTGCCCCAATCCCCCCTTTTGCCCTGGTTCCGTTTCACTCTGGTCCCGTTTCACCCCAATCCCCGGTTCATCCTGATCCCCCTTTCGCCCTGGTCCTGTTTCGCCCCGATCCCCCTTTCACCCCAGCCCCATTTCACACCGTGGCAGACCCACCCGCAGCGGTGGCTCCGGCGAGCTGTCCCCAGGGTGGGCTAACAGGCTGGCTGCTCCTCGCACCCCTGTGCCACCGCGTCCCCACCCCAAAGTCTGTCCCATCGCCTGCCCTCCCCTTGCCCACACAGGAGCTGCCGTGGGCGCAGGCCCACACCAGACACTCGCAGCAGGAGCTCAAGGGACAGCACAGGCCATAACCCATCACCCTGCAGCAGGTTTGCTTCGTGTTATGAGCTCAGACACGATTTTTAAGGCTACTGGGTCCCCTCGATTTGCTGGCACCAGCGCCCCAGAGCATCATCCAGTCGCAGAGGGTGGCTCACACCAGCCCCAAGAAGCATCCCCGGGGTGGGGCCACCTCCCCAGGCCACCGTGTCCCAGCAGCTTGGGCCGGCTGGGACAGTGTCCTGCCTGTCGTGCTGTTTTTCAAGCCGAGGGTCGGTGTGGTGCAGGAAGGCAGGCTCGTCCCGACGTGCGGGGCTGGGCGTCCCAGTCGGACCGGAGCAGCAGGTCAGGATGCACCGGGTGGCCTGACACTGCTCCACGCAGGCACTGCTGGTTTTTCAAACAGCAAAGAGTAACCCCCAAACTGCAGCTGATTAAGCCACTAAACACTGTGCACATGAGCAGAGGCTGTGCAGGATATTTTTCAACAGCTTTATCTGTATGTGCAAATACCTGCAAGGTGCAGAGGAGGAGCTGGGCACAGCCTTACCCGGGCCATCGCTGAATCACTGCCGCGTGGGCTGGTAGGTGAAGATAGGATCCTGTCCCTCCGACCAACATCCCTGGGCCTGGTGCATCGCCCTGGCACTGGAATTCTTCTCTTTCAAAAAGCACAGAGATTTTTAGGAGTTGCCCTCTTGATCTTCGCACACCAAATCTCCCCCAGCAAGATGCTATCTCCAGAGAAATCGCTATAGGAGAGGAGCGAGGGGCCATGGCCACGTTGGGTACCCGGGTACATGTGGCTTCAGCCCAAGCTGGGAGACCCGGTGCAGCGAGAGGATCTTCTGCCAGTCACTTCTGTTCCCCTGTCCCTAAAATCATAGAATCATAGAATGGTTTGGGTTGGAAGGGACCTCAGATCCCCGTCCAACCTGGCCTTGAACCCTTCCAGGGAGGGGGCAGCCACAGCTGCTCTGGGCGCCCTGGGCCAGCGCCTCACCCCCCGCACAGGGAAGAATTTCTGCCTTAGATCTCATCTAAATCTCCCCTCTTTCAGTTTAAAGCCATTGCCCCTTGTCCTATTCCTACATACCCTTGTAAAATGTCCCTCCCCCCCTTCCCTGTCCCCCCTTTAAGCCCTGGGAGGCCACTCGAAGGTCTCCCCGGACCCTTCTCTTCTCCAGGCTGAACCCCCCCAACTCTCTCAGCCCGGCCCCCCAGGGGAGCTGCTCCAGCCCCCCCAGCATCTCCGTGGCCTCCTCTGGCCCCGCTCGAGCAGCTCCGGGTCCTTCTGCTGTTGGGGGCCCCCGAGCTGGCCCCGGCACTGCAGGGGGGTCTCCCCAGAGCGGAGCAGAGGGGGAGAATCCCCTCCCTGGCCCTGCTGCCCCCCCTGCTCTGGCTGCAGCCCAGGGCACGGGGGGGTTCTGGGCTGTGAGCGCACAGGGCTGCCTCACGGGCAGTTTTCCCCCCACCAACCCCCCCAAAGTCCCTCTCCTTGGGGCTGCTCTCCAGCCACTCCTCACCCAGCCTGGGTTTGTGCTGGGGATTGCCCCGACCCACGGGCAGGACCTTGCCCTTGGCCTTGTTGAGCTCCATGAGGTTTGCCCGGGCCCCCCTCTCCAGCCTGTCCAGGTCCCTCCGAAGGGCATCCCATTCAGATAGTTATCTCCACCTTACAGGGCACTGCAGACTTGTGGGTGAAGCCTGCAAAGGAGAAACAGCTTCATTTAAAAGCTAATTATTATTAATCTATTGCCAAAGGAAGCTTAAAAGCGTGAGCCAATTACACGTGTTAATGTGCTTTGGGTAGGGAGTGGCTGAAGGGTGTAATTAGAGCCCGTCCGCGGTGCGGACACCCGGTTATTGGTTGGTATTTCTGGCCGAGGCCGGTCCCGTCGGCCGCATTTGCTGGTGTCAGTAACGGCGGGTACACACGGCCAAGGCCAGGTCGGTGGGGTGGAGGAGGGGGCACGAGCCCCACCAACACGACCTAGAGAGATTCACCAAAGGGAGGGGGGGCGGAAAAAAAAAAAAAAAAAAAAAAAGTTCAATTTTTTGTGGTAAAATGAGCAAGACGTGGCAGCTGTGGTATCAGCTCTGTAGGTGGGTTCGTGACACAAGAGCAGTGCTTGCTCCTCCTATTTCAGTGTGGTGATGAAGGGGGTTTGGTGCCTTCACAGGTCCCAGCAGCCCCAGGTCAGACAGACAGACGGCGTTTGGACCGATGCTCCTCTGCCAGGGGGGTGTCCCTGGGCCTGGCACCCATCGTCAGGCTTGTGGCTCTGGGTGCTTCGGCCTGTCCCTGCGGTGCCAGAGGAGCCGTGGGAGGCAGAGGAACGCGGGGTGCCTTTGCTCCAGGCTGTCTGTCCGCCTCCCACAGACCTTCCCTGCTCAAATCCGGGCTCACCAAGTCCTGGCTTTGACTCTCTTTACCTCAGGGGTAAGCTCAGGCTTTTCCTCACCAGCCCAGACACACACAGGAGCTGCTGCTGGAGGTGAAACTTGTCCTGCTGGAAGTCAAGTTGAGCCTGGTCAGCGTGACTGTGATTTTCAGTGCAAGTTCCTCTTCCCGTTTCAGGGACTGGGGGGGAAAAAAAAAAAAAAAAATTGCACCATTTGGTAAAACCCCGGCTGAGCATCAGCATCGGGGCCGAGCCCTTCGGGGTGGGGGGTGTGTGGACCCGCTGGAGATGGGGGTGCCCCAGCCCCTGGCTGCCCCATCACCCCGAGCCGGTTCCTAGCACTGCCCTTCCCTTGGCCTCTCTTCCAGATGTCCTTCTACTTCTCGGACACGGCAGTGCTGCTTTTTGACTTCTGGAGCGTCCACACCCCCACAGGTAGGCTGCCAGCCCCAGCCTGGCCCCGAGACACCCGTCTGTCCGTCCGTCCGTCCACCACCAGCTGTGCTCTCTGCCCAGGGAAAGGCCCTGGCGGGGGGGGTTGGATGACCTTTAAGGACCCTTCCGACCCCAACCATTCTAGGATTCCGCGATGAAAGGCAGAGAAACCAACAGTGGCTTTGCATTTCTGGCAGGAGCAGTGTTAGCGCTGGGCTGGGAGGGGGGAGATCAGAGCCTCCCCCCCTTGCATTAACGCTGGGGCTCTTATTGCAATGGGGGGGGTCGGGGCAGAGCCGTGATGGGCTCCACACGCCACTTGCCCAAAGCTCAAAGGGTATTTCCCATTTTTGACCAACCCCTTCCTACCCTGATGAGCAGGGATGTGCCCTGGTAATGCCCAGCCAGGGGTCAGTCCTCCCAGCCTGAGAGCAGCAGGCAGGGAGGTGCAGGAATCATCCCCCCCGAGGCCTGCCAACCCCCCCCAGTCACTCAGTGATGGCTCAGCTTCCCATTTTCTTCTACACTTTTTTTTTTTTTTTTTTTTTAATTATTGTCCCAGCATCATATTTTAACCCCTGGCTTTTTGTGGAGTCAGCGCAAAGACGCTTATTTTTTTCAGAGCAGCCTCCTCCAAAACACACTCCCTAGGAATTTAGGGAAAGGATTGGGCTAAACACACCCATTTCCCAACACTTCACAAGCCTGCTGCCGGTTGCTCCAGCCCAACCCTGACCCCAGGAGCCCTCTGTTCCCTCCACCTTATCCCATGGATGTGCCCAAGCGCTCTGTGGCGGGACCTGCCGTGCCCCCCCCCCTCGCCCCCCACACCCCGTGTCCCGCCGGGGCGCGGCGATGGGCAGCGGCGGGGTGTTTCTCGTGCAGGGATGGCGCTCTCGGTGCTGGTGATCCTGCTGCTGTCGATGCTTTACGAAGCCGTCAAGATGGGCAAGGCCATGCTGCTGCGGCGGGCGCTGCTGGCTCTGCCCCGCAGCCTCAGCCGGGAGTCGCTGGCGGAGCCGGAGGAGGGGGACACCGGCCCCACGCAGGGCAGGTACCGCAGGGCCCCCGCTGCACCCGGCCGTGGGGGGCTCGGGGATGGGTGTACAGCCCCTGCGTCAGCACAGGAGGGGAGAAAGGCTGTGAAGAGGCAGTCGGGGAGTACTGGGCTCCTGGGAAAGAGGTCTGTGTACCAGCCTCGGGAGGTGGCCCCAGGGGCATCCTGGCCCCTCCAGGTACTTCGGGAGATGCCCTGCGTGTTTTTCAGCTGCCTACTCACATTCCCCCAGGAGCCACCGTGGGTCAGGAGGGATCCTCGTGGTTTGGGGATGGGCACGAGCAGCGGCTCAGGCACCTCAGCAGGGCTGGCCCAGGCGTTCCCTTCCCAGCACAAGCCATTGGAGCCAAGCCCTGGGTTGTTCCTCTTGTATTTAATCCCAGACCATGCCTGAGGCTGCTCTTACTGCCAACCTCTTAATAATATCCTCCCCATTCCTTTGGAGCAGGATTTCCACCTTCACTGCCGTTTGTAGCCCCCATCCCCAAACCCATTTCTGGTTGCTCCTGGCCACGGGGGGCTGCTGGCTGCCCCAGCCCCTCACTGATGGGGTTTCCCATCTTCTTCCGCAGGTGGTTTCAGTACCATGTTGGCCAGACGCTGTTCCACGTGGTGCAGGTGGTGCTGGGCTACATGGTGATGCTGGCCGTCATGTCCTACAACGCCTGGATCTTCCTCGGGGCCATCGCGGGCTCCACGCTGGGCTATTTTGTGGTGTACCCCCTGCTCGGCCGGGGCTAGGCACCCCCCCACCCCCCCGAGATGGTGGACGATGCGCTTCACGCCTCCTGCTACTTTGTCTGGAATAGCTGCTGTCACTTCTGCTGGGTCTGTCGATGTCCCTGTGCTGCGCGGGACGCAGCACCCCAGGGACTTGCTGCGGGGACCCTCAGAGCTGGCCCGACGTGGGGGGGGGGAGGCGCTGGGGAAGGAGAGCCCCATGGCCAGCACTGCCACCCGTCCGTGGCTGGTGGCTGTCCCCCGGCTCTCGGGGAGCTTTGGCTGGGTGATAACAGCAGCGGGATTCCGGGTATTTCCTTCTCCCCCCGCTTTTCAGGGGCGGGGTTCATCCTGGCTGGAACAGGAATGGTCCAGTGACCTGCTGGGGAAGGGGACGTGCTGGGGACAGGCACCCCTGCCCACAGCTGCCCTGCACCAAGCCCCTTTTCACACAGTGCCTTTTGGGAATAATGGGGGTCCTGCTGCACCCCACCGCCCCCCATACACGCAGCGCTTCAGGGATGGGGGCAGAGCAGCCCCCGAACCGTCGGTGTGGCCGTGCCGAGGGGAAGCTGCTGCTGTGGGTGCCTCTTGCTGCTTCCTCGGGACATCCCTTTTAATAAACTCAGCTGTCGTTCGGCTCCTGGCTTGTGTGGCTGCTGGGTGGGCTTAGGATGTGACACCCCCCCAGTCACAGGGGGGATCCCCAGCCCCTACCCCTCCAGCACAGCCCCAGGGGGGCGATTCAGGAATAAGGACAGTCTCCTCTGGCTTTAAATAAAGCTTTTCCATTTTATTAATTATTATAAGCATATTTTTAAACATTTGTATAACTTTCTTAATAAAATATCCTGGAAGAGACAGGTTTTAAGTTCCCAAAGCAAGGCACTTTGGGGGGCCTCCCCAAGTGGGTTAGGCTGGGCACCCCCCTTCAGAGGCAGAAACAGCGGCACCTAAAATACAGGCGAGTGTCGGGGTGCTGGTCCCTGCTCCGTGCACGCACACGTGTGGCTTATACTCACGAGTCCTGCCAACCCCCACCAGCTCGGGGCCCTTTAGCATCTCTGCATGGGGGCTGCACCAGCCCCGTCCCCCTCCCCACGGCAGGCAGGGCTGCTGGGGTTACCGGCAAACCACTGCTAAGGCACCAGCTCTTTGCTTGACCATCACCGCAGAGGCCAAATTCTGCAAAGCCCAAGAGCTGGAGAAATCATCCGTGTGTGGTGCTGGGGAGCTCCGGGGGGCAAGAGCTGGGATCCCCCCCCCACTGCACAGAGAGCCTGAGCCTGGAGGCAGCCCAGTCCAGCCAGGCAAGGCTGGAGTCGATGTGCGAGTGTCACCTTCCTTGCTAAGTTTTTATTCTGAACTCAAATAGCTGCTAGGAGACCCCGGGGGGAGGGTGGCTGGGGGTGGGTGCTGTGAGCCCACGCCTGGCCCACCGCTCGCCCCAGCAGCAGCGGTTCAAGCCACCCAGCGTTGCTGTACCCCTGCCGTGCCCCTGGCTGCCATCGCATTTGTCATCATCCCCCGTGGCCCCCGCTCCCACTGGCACTCCCGGAGCTGGCTGGGTGGGAGGGCAGTGGGGAGGTTCCCAGGAAACCCCCCCCCCGGGTTGGGGCAGGGGATGACCCGGGAGCATCCCGCACACCCATCCACAGCAGAGGTGGTTCCAGCCCCCCCGGCAGCCCCAGGCACTTGCGCTGGGGGGCAGATAAAGCATCTCTTCAGTAGAAAAGAAGAAAATAAGGCAGAAGGACAGAGCAGAGTGCAGGGGGAGCCCCATGCCGGGCCGGGGGCCTCCCCCAGTCCGACCCAGTAGGACCACATGGCTGTAGCCAGCCCTGCACAGCAGCGGGGACCCCCCCCCACCCCGGCTAGGCAATAAGGTCTCGGTGTTTCCCATCCCCTCCCTCTCCCGCGGCGCTGCTCTCCATCCCCAGCAGCACAGCAGGTCCTATTCCCCCTACCCCAACCCCCCCGGCGTCACCGGGGCCAGTCCATGGTGGGGGCGAGCCCGGGGCTAGAACTCAGTCTGCACCCCCTCACTGCTCTCTGTCGTGCCCACGGGCTGCGGGGGGCTGCACTCGCCGCCCGGGGGGGCCACCTCCTCGCCTGTCTCCTTGTCACTGGGCTGGTGGCAAGCCGTACCGGCGGGCAGTGCCGGGGTGTCACGGGGTGCAGGCGATGCTGGGGTGGCAGGGGGCACCTTGGCCTCCGATGGGACATGGGCTCTGGGTTTGGGTGACGCTGGGGCGGCGTGTTGCACGCTGGCCCCTGCTGGGACATCGGCTCCGGGCGCGGGTGATGCCGGCATGGGTGATGCCGGCGCAGCACGTTGCACACCAGGCCCTGACGGGACTTCAGCTCCAGGCACGGGCGATGCCGCGGTGGCACGGCGCACGCCATCCCCCTCACTGGCTGGCCCACGGCGGGGGTCCTCCCCTGGGCCGGACCCTGCCACCACCGCCGCCTCCTCAGCGGCACGGCTCTCTCGCGTGGCGTCGGTACCGTTCGTCAGCCGCTCCTCCGCCTCGACGCCGTCCCCCAGGCTCTCCTTCGCCAGCACCTCCCGGATCTCCTCCACCCCATCCGGGGAGCTCGGCAGCGCCCCAGGGTCCGGCTCCTCTGGCTCCGGGGAGCCGGGCTGCAGCAGCACCTCGGCGCCCACCTCGTAGGGCAGCACCCCCTCGTCGTCTTGGATCACTGACACCACTTGCTTGGCCCTGCGGCGCTTGTCGGCGTCCGGCTCGGCCTCGGGCTGCCCGCTGTACTCCTCGCCCCAGTCGATGGGGATGCCCTCGCCCAGGAGGTGCAGGTTGGGATCGCTGTTGTGCATGACCATGCTGTCGCGGTACAGGTTGTGCTTCCGCTGCACGGCTGCCTCCTTCACAGCTGGGGGCACCGAGAGAGATGTCAGATGGGCTGCGGGCACGGGGCAGCGCCCACCAGGCTCGGGCACCTCTCCCTTGGGTGTGGGGTGCAGGGAGGGGTGGCTGGAGCCGGGAACAGGGGTCAGCATCCCACCCACCGCTCAGCCCTGCCAGTGGGACGGCTGGGTGGGAAAGCTGCTCCTCGCACAGCCCCCAGCATGCTGCACAGGGTCACCCCCTCCTCTTACAGCCCCCAGTACCCACCACCAGCCCTCCAGGTGCTGCTCAGCTTACACTGACTCCACCCAGCACCCAGCACCCACTCCAGGGTGCTGGATCACCCCCCCACACCCTGGGGTACAGAGCTGAATGGGTCCAGGCTCCCTGGCACTGCAGGACCCTACCTTGCATGATGTCTTTCATCACTGACTGCAGCACCACCTCCTCGTAAGTGTTCTCCACCAGGATGAAGCTGGCAAAGTCCTCAAAGATCAGCTCCTGAAACTTGGCTAATTCCTGCCGCAGGGGAGAGGCCAGTCAGCCAGGGAGGACTGGAGGGGAGGATGCTCCAAGCCCTTTCATGAGCGGGCTGGTCCTTCCTCCCCACCCCAAACTTTACTCTCTTACCCCCTTGCAGGTCGGCGCCAGCTTTTTCAGCAGGAAGGGGATGGTGATCTGCAGCAGAGCCTCCCTGAAGAACTTCTTCCGCACGGTGCTGCTGTCGTAGTCGTATTTCTGCAGGGTGAGAGGGCAGCCCCGGCTCACTGAGGGCTGGGGCCCATGGGCACAACCCACCCCCCAACCATCTGCACAAGCGTGAGTTTCCTCTGCCCCTCACATCCTCTCCAGCCAGTTCTCAGGGTGCCTGAACCCGGGCAAGAGCCAGTTCCTCCACCACTGTCTGCAGACGGGTTTTTGGGCCAGTCTGAACCCCGGGTGGCTTTTACAGTGACGCACGTGGTCAGAGGGGACTTGGTTCCTCCAGGTGGTTTCCCACTCCCCTGCCCCACATCCCAGCAAAATGCATGAAAATCTCGATATAAAGACACATTTCCCCAGAAGACTTCTATTAAAACTGGAAGAGTCGCTCCTGTCCTTTTCCCCAGGAGTAAGGCCACTGAAGCCCCCAACTGCCGCCCCTTACCTTGAGCACCCTCTCGAGGATGCGCTGGATGGACTTGCACAAGTCGTCTTTGCCTTGCAGCTTCCCCAGCTCCTGATGGAGCAGCGTCTCGAACGTGTACACGGCATCGTCCATTTGCTGTGAGCAGAGGCAGACGGTCAGGGGGACCCAAAGGGACCAACCACGGGGGTGGGCAGGGGGCTCTTTTGGGGCCCTGCCATACAAAGATGAGCCTTCGTGCTGGCAAGGTCCCCAGCATCCCAGCATGGCATCCACAGGCTCCTTTTACCCCCTGCTCCAGATTTGGCTGGACCAGACCCCAGAACTGGGCTACTGGCCTCGCTGGTACCAGTGGGCTCGGTGGAAAAGGGGCAGCCGTGCCGTGACGCCCAAGCCTGGGTGCTGAGTTCAGGTTGGAAGGGTGCCCCACGCTGCTGCCCACCCGTGGGCTCCCTCCCTGCTCGGGCTCCAGACCAAAGGGGATGGCCAGATCCATCACACACCCTTAGCCTGGGTACCGGTGACATGAAGGTCCCTGAGACAGGGCAGACATCCCAGCCAAATCCCCGCCTGGGTTGGACCAGACTGGGCTCTGGGCTCTGCCTCCGCTCCCCAGCCCTCTGTGCTCAGCCCGGGGAGACACAGGAGGAGCCCAGGCCCCGTCCCACCTGTCTCATGTGGATCTGGGCCCTCTGCTTGAAGACAGACGTGCTGGAGACATCGAATCGCTGCTGAAGGCCCTCCAATTTCAGCTGGTCCATCTTCTCATAGCACGACTGCATCTTGACGGGGTGGAAGGCCAGGTGGGAAAGCTTCTCCATGTACTGGGGATAAAGCCAAGCTTAGCAGGACAGCCTCTGCCTCAGGGAGGCAGGCCAGCCTCTCTGCACACTCAGAGATGGGACGTGCCAACCCACATGGGCTTCATCCCCATGTGTTTTCTCAGCCTGGGGCCCCCCAGTGCTGTCCACACTGAGGAGGGCAGCAGGACTGGCCCCGCTATCCCCAAGGCCACCAGCCAGCAAGGATCATTGCCAGGTCTCACCTCCACCAGCTTTTCCAGGCCACCTTCGTTGACGATGTTCATGTTCATGTCCGTCACCTCCTTGAAGAACACCTCCCGCACCTCGGCAAAGCCCTGGCTCGTGGGGGTCATCAGGGCCTCCAGGATGGAGGAGATGTAGGGCTGGACATGGTTACGGACACAGATCTCCGCTTTGGGGAGGACAAACGCTGGGCAGAGAACAAGGGTGAGCATGGTGAGGCTTCTCTGACCTGCCAGCCCTGCGATTCAGGTCCTAAACCCACCCTAGGGATGTGGACCTGCTCCTCCAGGAAAGGTCTCACACACTTACAGGAGAACACAATGCAAGGTGTTCTTGCAGGGGGCCCCCCATCTGTATTGAACCCATTCCTGCCCCATTGCCTTGCTTGAGGGGACACTGCCCACCTTGTCCCCCACCTCCTGGGACAATGCCAGTGAGGCCGTGCACATTGGCCACTGCGGCTGCTGGCATCTCCCCAAGGGTTCCAGGCCGTGCTGGCAGGAGCCATCGTGCACCCCAGAAACAGCCACACCTTGGTGAAATAGTTGTGATGCCATGCCAGGAGCCGGTCACGGACACAGCTACCCACGTCCGCCTCCACGCGTCTCCCCGCAGGGCTGTACCTCGGATCTTGCTGGCCAAGTGCTCCTTGGAAGTGATGATCTGGTCCATGTCCGTGCGGATGGTGCTCTCCATCTGGGGCCGTTCCTGTTCGCACTTGGCCATCACCGCATCGTACTGGGCCTTGGTCTGCTCATAGACCATCCTATAGACAGCGTCCGAGATCTGGCGAGGGAGAGATGGGGGGGGGGGGGGGGGGTCAGCTGCCCCCCATGCCTCCTGCTGCCACCAGATGCCTGCAGGACCTGCCGAGCCTTCACCCATGCCCTGACCAAACCCTCTCCTCGCAGCCTGGCGGGAGGTTTTCCACACCAGGGACCCCCCAGGTGGGTGAGATGAAGCTCCCACGGTGCAGAAGCTGATTTGAAGCGGTGCCCGAGGGGCACAGAGCCAAACTCTGCCTCTGGCAGCCAACCTGCCCCAGGCATGTCCGGGGATGCAGGTGGTCCGGGGATGCCAGTGGCCGGGGATGCTGGTGGTCCGGGGACACCGGTGGTGTGGGCAGGAGAGCCCCTGACCCGTTTGAAAGCTGTGCCCTGCCCCGCTCAGCCTGCCTGAGGTCTCAGGAGCCAATGCCGTGAGCAGGACACAGCCGCTTGCTGAGGCTTCACGCTCACTTTGCAGCCAAACGCCGCGATTTCGGGGCCGGCGGGAGGCAGAGCCGTCCCATCCCTCCCTCCCTCGGGCTTCCCAGCTTTGCAGCGAAGACCGCAGCTACTGAAAAGGCACCGTTTGTGTGTTTTTAGGCTGCTCCAGTGGCACATTATGAGCCTGGTGGTAATTATCTATCGGCTTTTAAGGTTTTAACAGGCAGCTTTGAAGAGCCTTCGGTCTTTCGCAAGGGTTCAGGCTGGATTTAGCCTGCACTGCTCTAAAAATGGCTTGCTAAATATAGCCAGGACGGGCTTCACTCCGGGGCTGGGCTTCCTCCTGTTTGCTTCCCTCGCCCCAGGGACGAGGCAGGGATGGGCAGGGCTGCTCGCAGAGGCCCAACAAGGAGCTTTAAAAAGCCACAGTGGAGAATAAGGACGGCTTCTTCGGCAGGGTCAGGAGAGGGGGTGACAAGGGGGATGCTGCACTGGCTCTGCGGGGCAGGAAAGGGGGAAGGGAGGCAGCAACGCAGCCCCCAGAGCAGGGGCAGGGCTGGTGACGATGACCCCCCCCCCCCACCCCACCCCTCCAGCCCCACACCTGGATCCAGGTCCGCTGGCGCTCCTGAGCCTTGCCCTTCAGCCGGGGGCCGATGGTGGTCCTCAGCTCGGGGAGCAGCTCCTCCATCACCAGGTTGCTCAGGACCTGCGAAGGCAGGAGGCTTTGGGGGACCCTGCTCAGCCTGCACGCACACCCTCCCCCCCCCACCCCCAACCCCAGATTAGGGGGGGACACATGTCCTCACCTGGGTTTCGTTGCCACACAGCATGTCCCACGTGCCATACTGCTCCTTCGACTGGCGGTACATGCGGACAGCGTCCGTGAAGGCTGGAGCCTCCACTTTGGAGTCCTCAGAGATCCCTGGGGAGGGGGCGGGGGGGCATGAGCGAGCAGCCTGGCACGGGGAGCGAGGGGCAGCCCAGCTCCTTGCAGCATCCCCAGCCCACCTTTGCAGGGGGTCCCTCGCATCCCCCCCCACACCCTCGGACCCACACGAGGAGCCCAGGGGTGTCACCGGGACTGGGGGATCCCATCTCGAGCCCCTGCCTCTGCCTGAGGTGGGGGGGTAGCAGTCTCCCAGACACACCGGCAGCTTGGGGGGGGGGGGGGGGGTCCCCATTCTGCCCACAGACTGATCTCCAGAGCCAGACCAAGGGCAGGGAGGCACCCAGGGCTCAGCAGAATGGGGGGGCTCGGTGAACCCCAATGGTGCATGAGGACCCAGGTGCTCAGCAAGCCCTGAAGGCACGTCAGGAGCAGGGGTGCAGCAGGACGGGGGGCTCAGCAAGCCCCCACGGTGCATGGGGACCCAAGGGCTCAGTGAAACCCAAAGGCACAGCAGAAGCAAGGTCTCACCAGTATAGGGGAGAGCTCAGTGACCCCCGATGCTGCATGGGGCCCTGTGAGCCCACCAGCACAGCCGGGGTGGGGTGGGGTGGGGGGGAGCTGGAGGAAGTGGGGGGGCCCTACAGGGAGCGGCACAGCTTGGGAGGAAGAGGAAAGCGGCCGAGAGGCGTCAGGGCTGAGTCAGAGCCCCGTCCCTGAGCCAGCCCCGTGGGAGGCACGCTGGGCTCCAGCTGGCTGGGCTGCCCCCCCGAGATGTCACTGCCGTCAGTCACTGCAGCACGGCTCACGGGGCCACCAGCACGAGGGGGGACACCCCCACCCTCCCGCAGCACCCGTCAGGAGGAGAGGCAGGGTGCTGGGAGCCCATGGCTGCATCCCCCGGGAAGGAGGAGGAGATGGGGGCAGCGGGCAGGCAGAACAGCCCAGGAGCCCACTGGCATGTCCCACGCATGTCTCTGCCTCATCCCAGCCTCTCCAGGCTCCGGCTGCGGAGGTGCCTGCCAGCTGGAGAGAAACACTCCTGGGAGACACCCCCCCCCAGCACCCCAACTCCCCTCTCCCATGCCCGGACCCCTGGCAGGAGGGAAGCAGGATGGGGCCAAGCCCAGGGCGGCCCCGTGGCAAAGGGTCCCCCAGCAGAGCCACCCTTCTCCCAGACAACATCCCAGCAGCGATGACAGCGGAGGGTCCTGGCACGTCCCTGGACCGCCCAGCAAGCCGGTGTCCTGGGGACACACAGCCAGGGGCGGTCTCTCCCTCCCCAAGAAGGACAGCCCACAGTAGAAAGCGGATTTTTTCCAATGCACACAGATTTTTCTAAGATGATTACTTTTAACTCCAAGCCTAAGTAGCTTTTCCTAAGGGGCAGCTTAATATACGATGGAAAAAAATGCTGAGAAAGTGAAGTCTGACCCTTTCTCATTGCTCAGTGGCAGCCAGAGGAGGGCTGAGCTTTCAGAGGCCGGTGCTTCTCCATCCACAGCTCCCTGCAGCTCAGCATCACCTCCCAAATGGGACAGCCTGGTATGGGCTTCAGTGTCCCCCACCAGAGCTGCTACTGCTAAACCTCATCCTCCAAACGATGCAGAGAGCGGGGCAGGATTCGCCCACCCCGAGAAGCCACCTGGATCTGCCCCATCAGGGCCGCTCGTCCCTGGCTCAGCCCGGGGGGGCAGTGAGCACCCAGCCCCAGCCCCGTGCCCTGCTCAGGAGTAAGCAGACAGGGCTGGTTGCAAGAAGCCACTTCACAGGGCAAATTTAATGAGTTTGCTTCATTAATATGTGTCTAACTAAGCACTGATCTGAGCTCGTCTTATCGGAGATGGGAAGCAACCGCCCAAGCCTGGACCCGGGCTGATGGTGCACCACGGGCTGGGAGTACCCAACACCGGAGAGCGATGCTACGCCTTGATTTTTAAAAAAGTCCACCCCGCTCACAGCACAGGATAATCTCTCACCAGGAGGGGACAGTGCTGAGGAAGAAATGTGAGTTTGAAGCGACTTTTTGCCTTAAACACGGCTGGAACGGGGCAGCCTGCCCACAACAAGGGGCAAGAGCCAGCGGGGTGGGTGGGTGCTGCTCCAGCCCCATGTGCCACCATACAGGGCAAGGGACATTCTCGGAGCAGCCAAGGGCACCGGCTCTGGGGAAACCAAACTGGACACCTCCTGCATGAGGAACGATGTTGGGTGCTCTTACAGAAGAGCTAGTGTGACAAAAATACAGTCTTAAAAAGGGAGGTGAAAATTCCCACACTAATCACAACCGGAGGCAGAAACAGAGCCTCTAATTTAGGAAAGGAAAAAAAAAAAAAAATGCTTGACAACAAAAGAGCTTTCATGGAATCTGAAACAGTATCTTGGACGTCACAGGAGCAGTGAGGGGCAGAAATGGGGCTTGGAAGGGAAGAACCACCTCACAGAGAAGTCCAGGCTGTAGAAATGCAGAAACCCACCCGCACCGAGCCTTCCCTGGGCCACTGCCCACCCCTGTAAGATTTTTTCACCAGTTGCTGAGGGGGAGGAGAGGATTTAATGGCACAACCCTGGCTGACAGTGGGGACTCACATCTCTCTTCCCTCCCACAACAGCACCCGGCAGCCAGTGTGGGAAATGAAAGATAAATAAATTGGCTTTTTGTTAATAGGGGAGATCAATTCCTTTTTTATCAGGAGCCGGTTCTGCTCGCAGTGCCCCGGCTTTGTGGGTCCAGCCAGAAAGCGGGGGGGGTCCTGGGGTGCTGAACTGCATGCAGCAATGCTGGTGCAGCAGCATCCCGGAGGGATGAGTGACTGGAGGGGTCACTGTTCCCAGCCCCCCGCAAAGGAGCCCAGGCCCTGAGTGGGCTGTGGGGAGATGCTCATCCTGATGAGCTTAGACACCCCCAGCTCACCAAGAGCACATGAATGTGTTTTGCAGTGGGGAGCACCAAAAGGAAGGGAAAGATTAAAGCTTTCAGAAGATTTAATCTAACATGGGAGGATGGAAACCCTCACTGAAACTCAGGCTGCAGATCCAACCCCATTATTCCACTCCCTAAACAGCAGCTCCAGCAAAATCAGCGCTACACAGAGCTCCCAGGAGTGGAAGAAGCACTTAAAAACCAGGCAGCATTGCTCTTTGCCCACTAAAAGACCCGATTCTGAGCAGGTTTCAGCGCTGGCACCTCCTTCCCCAGGAAACTTCTCACCATCCAAGGCACCGCTGGGACCTGGGTCTCAGCCCAGGAGCACACAGGCCACAGCCAAGCAGGAAAATCGTGTTTTCCTGCCAGAGTATCGCTGACGTGGGAGGCAGGTCCTGCCTCCGCCCCGGCCCCTCGCAGCCCTGCACCCCTCTGCCCGCAGCGCGGGCTGCCCCCGCTCGCGGTGCCGGCGGGGCGGGGAGCGGGACGGTGGGGCTTGGGAGTTTTGATGACCTTAATTACCAAATATTTTCTACCTCGGGGTGGAGAATAGGCATCAGGGAGTCTCCTGAGCCAGGCTCCGTGCTGACTCCTGCAAATACTGCCTGCCCTGGTGCAGGCATCGCGTTCCTTATGGGCAGCGGGATCAAGCCGGGCACAGGGATGCCCCAGGTGGCTGGATCCCTCCCGCTCCTCACCCTCGCCCAGGGAGAGGATGAGATGCTCAATGATGCTCAACAACTCCCACCCACTTCCTCTCCTTGACCTCCAAATCATCCCCTTTGGCCCAAAACCCAACCCAACCACTGCAGGGTCCCCACCACCCTCTCCAGAGCAGGAGGACGATGCTCTCCCCACCCCAGAGCCCCCCCGCCTCGTGTCTGTGTGTGTGTCCCAGCATCACTCACCGTTGTTGCAGTGCCGAACGCAGTCCTGGAAAACCGCCCGCCACTTCTCCTGCTCCTTGCCTGTCATCACGCAGAAGTAATAGTGCCGGGCGTAGGGGTGCCAGAGGATGAGGGGGAAATCTGTGGGGCACTTCAGGATGGGGGAGTGGCCCGATTTGGGTGTCACGCCTGCGGAAGGGGGAAGGATGATTTCAGAAGCAGACGAGGCAGGACAGGGATAGGGATGCTGCAGGGTTGGGGGTGTCCATCTCAACCAGCATTCGAGGCTGGGGGGGCAGCAGTGGTACACAAGACCCCTCGGCTCCTTCCCAGTGCCTTTGCTGTGAACTCTACCAAAAACGTGGGGCAAAAAAAAAGTGCGAAGAGCCTCATTCTTTCAAAAAGGAAATCGGAAGTGAAAATTGGAAATAAATGAATAAATTTAAAAATCATTATTTCCAGCATGAAACTCTCCCCAGAGCTGCTGGCCTGCTGTTTCAACAGCTCCTGCCCTGCTCCCTGGGGGCTGCCCTGGCCTTTAGGGACCTGGGGCAGGAGGACGGTGAGGGGGGTGCTGGCAGGTCCTCCTGGGGGTCTGGATGGAGGAGCAGGAGCTGCTGCCTTGGCCCAGCACTGCCGGGAAAGGGAGGTGGCAGCAGCATGGGGCAGCTTTCGTTGGACCCACAGACACGTTTTCCTTCCCCATTGGCTGGGGCAGGACCTGAGCAGCAAACACCTCCCACTGCACCCTACACCCCACGGGGGGGGAATGGGGCTGTTCTCCTTCCCTACAGCCCCACACCCCAAACCCACCCTTCCCGAAGGTCTCCAGGGATGCTAAACTCCCAAACCACCCTTTCCAGAACATCCACAGGGATGCTCACATCCCAAAATCACCCCTTCCCAAAGGTCCCCAAGGAACGCCCAGCAGCATCGGGGTGCAGGGGGCCCCGAGCATCCCTCCTCACCCTGCAGCCACCAGGACCACTCACCAGGCAGGCTGCTGTTCACCAGCTCCAGGTACTGGTCCACGGAGGTGAGAATCTTGTAGCCAGCACTGTTGACCAGCACACGGGGTGACAGGTCCCGCTCATAGGCCTGAGCAGAAAAAGACGGTCATGGATGATGGGGAGCATGCCAGCGCAGAGATGGGGTGTCCCCCTCTGGAGCTGTGCCCACCGGAGACGAGCGAAAGGGTGATGCCCCTCACCAGTTTGTTCTCGTAGAGGACCAAGCCATAGTTGTGCGGGACCACGCAGAAGCGGTTCCTCCACTTCTTGTTCTCCTCGATGTACTGGAAGAGGTTGCCCGAGTAGATGACGTGGTCCTCCAGCGGGACCTGTGGGGAGGAGACACACGGTGGGCGGCACAGGGAGGGGGGCAGCTGGGTACCCCTCCATCTCACGGTCACAGCCTGGCTCAGGCAGCTCAGCAAGGTCTGTTCAGGGTGTTTTGGGTGGGTTTTTTTGTGCTAGGGCTTTGCTGAGGGTCCCCAAGTTCACCACTGGACTACCTCCCATAGCTTTGCAAATTTTGGTGCCTGGATAGGTGCGCCTGGGTGACAACTGTGAGGGCTATCACATGCACAGCCCTAAAAAACCTCAGAGGGGCTGCTCATACAGCAGCAGTGGTGGTGTTCACCATGGTGGTGGTCACACCCCTGTCCCTGGCATCTCCTTCCTGGGAGACACACCAAGCTGAGCTGAGCGACATGAGCTCACTTGGCCGAGCAGCAGGTTGGAGCAGAGCCCTCCAGCAGCTCTTCCCAACCTCAACGACTGCGATTTTCCCAGCTCAGGGCAGGCGGGAGCACCCGTGGTCCTGCTGGGTGGTGGCCATCAACCAGCAGGAACCGCCGGGGTGAGGGTCAGGGGCAAGCCCTGCCTTAGCATGGCCTCCAGACGGGACATGGACGGGGAAAAGCAAGAAGCCACCACATAGAACCCAGCACCAGATGATGCTTAAATGCTCTGGACTTCATGGAACCACCAGCGACGGGAACAGGCTGAGGACATCCTGACCCCCCCCCCCCCCCCGGCTGAGCAGCCCCTCGCCAGCTCTCCAGCACCTTTTGGCCCGTGTGCCGGCAGCGTTTACGCCGTCTCAAACACAGGCCGGCTGAGCGAGCCAAGAATTTCTCCCAAGAATTTTTATGATCCCAGGAACATAAACAAGAGCCGAGAGCTCTCGTGGGGGCGGGAGCGTGCGGCCGCCACCTCTCCTGACATGGCCACCCACCATCCACCACAGCAGCTGTCAGGAGGGACCAGGGCTTGGGTCCCACCACGCACCCAGCACCAGGACCTTTCCCTCTCCTCTCGCTGTTCTGTCCATCTCCTGGGTCACAGGCACCCCATTGCCCTCCCCAAGCCCCCCACCACTCCCCGACCCCACACCCCCTTGAGTAATCTGGGAGCAGCTTGACTCAGCGAACAGGCTGACAGCACCTCGCTGCTCCTTACTGCTTTCCAAAGGCCTTGGGAGGGGGAGAAGAAAGCAAGGGGAGAAGAAAGCCCTGCAGGGCCGGGGGAACAGTGGGAGGGATGAGAGCCTGAAGCCCAAGGCCACCAGCAGCGATGGGGACAGAAAGGTGGTCCCAGCTCTGGGAGTCCCCATCAGCATCTCACCGAGGGGGCTTATCCAAGGAGAATCAACCCTTATAAACTGGCTTTGAAACCACTGCTCGAGGCAGACGAAGCCATAAAACCAGCTGCGAATGAAATAAAATCCAGGGTGAGCTCTGACACGGGTCTGGGGGACCCTCGGCCAGGGAACGGCTGCTCACAGCCACCAGCGTCCCAGGAGCCCAGGCACAGCCATCCCCTCTTCACACACCCTCCTCGCCCAGGGGAGGCACCGAGACGACACCACCCAACCCCGGCAGGTATTTGGGACAGGCAAGTACACACCAAATTGCTAGGCTGGGCAGGGAGGGGACAAGGGACCGCGGGGGCGGAGGGCCCTGCGCTGCCTGCATCCCTGCCACGGGGACGGGGAGTGATGGGGAGTGAGATCAGGGGCCGGGTATGGCAGCTCTGGGGCTTGGCCAGGAGAGGCAGGAGGGCTGTTATGAGAAGAGAGGCTGCTCAGGGATGGTTTCTTCAGGGGGGCTGGCTGGGGACACCTGGGCTGCTGGGGAGACCAAAGGCAGAAACATTTATTCCTTATTCTCACTGCTGTTGCTTCTTGCTGGCATTTCAGGTGACTTCGGACCCCCGCCCAGCTGTCCCCCTCTGCCCGGCAGGGCCACCAGCCCCTGGTATCACTGCAGGAGCCGCCTCTGAGCACCACATCCCCAGAGATTGCAAAAAAAAAAAAAAAAAAAAAAAAAAAGGGGTAATAAATAAATACAATTTAAAAAAACCAAATGCCACATCCCAGCTGGACCTGCCTGAGGACAGGGAGGATGCTACCCTGCACATCTTCTTGACATCCACAACTTTTGGGGTGTATTTGGGGAGCGCAAAGCACAGCTGGAGGAGACGGTCTCCCCAGCTCCTTGCAGAGCCACCCCACAGACACGCAGGTCCCGGCGGCGTTTGGAGCCCTGGTACATCCTGGCAGCACTGCCAGGACCCTGGCAGAGGACAGGCAGAGGAATGCCTTAGTTATACGCTGGTGTTTTAAAAGACTTGCATGGCGTCCCTGACCTCCCCGCCTCGCTGCCGTTCCTCAGACATTCCTGGGCTGCTTGCTGGAGCTTTTTAATGAAGCAACCAACCTCGGGATGGAGGTACCCCCTGCGGGGGGAGTTGAAGGCATCTGCCAAATTGCAAGGAACCCAAGGGACGCCTTGGCTGAGGACGCCTGGTGCCTGGCTCCTGCCCAGGAACCTCCACACCTTTATTTCGCTCAACACACCCAGCACCCAGGCAGCTTTCAGAGATGGGGCACATCCAAGTGCCTGGGAAAGGTGTCACCTTCGTAGGTGGGCCAAGGAGATAACCACTGTGAGTACCCAGGGCTTGAGTCTGATCTCACGGATGCAAATTCTAGATTTCTTAAAAAAAATCACCCCTTTAAGCCCCAGACAAAAGCAGGAGGCCATCCCTCATGCAATCATATCTCCTCCTGGTTTCAAGGAGCACCCACAGGGCAGCAGCTCCACCAACCTGGCCAGGGAGGAACCCCAAACCCTCTCTGCCAAGGAAAATCCCCGGCTGATGTGCATCTGCCTTTGGAGGTGGGAGGAGAGGGCAGGATCCATCCCCCGGTGCGGGAGCCGCAAGGAACAAGGGGAGATGCTTGGAGAACTTTTGCCAGGCAGGAGACATGTGGCTGCTGGAAATTAGACTTGGAGCCACCTCTTCATCCCCTGCCAGGTCAGAGATGTCTTCCAGGGGTTTTCTACCCCTCCCTGGGCATTTGCCCAAGCTGGAGCACTGCTGGCACCCAGGAACAGGGTAACAACAGCCCAGCACACCCCGCTTGGGGCTTTCCTGGGCACAGGGGGGTCCTGGGAGCTCCTGCCAGCCCTGGCATCAAGCACACTCATCCACGGGGGACAAGAGCCCAAAGCCAGCCTTGCCTCTGCTTGCTGGTGTGCTCATTGCATGGGATGGGATGGGATGGGATGGGATGGGATGGGATGGGATGGGATGGGATGGGATGGGATGGGATGGGATAGAAAACCTTTCTGGGGAGCCCCATGTGCTGCACGGATGGTGCATGATGGGCTGGACCAGTGGCATGGGGGCTACATCCTGCCCTAGAAGGGTCGAACGGGAAGAGGGGACATGGCCAGGCTTTGAGGAGGACATCGGTCCATGCTCGCTGGCCACGGGGATGGAGCTCCCCACCAGCTCCGGGCTCCTTGTGCAGAGCCAGGCTCTTACCTTGCGGTGCAGCAGCTGGGCCTGCGGCCCTCCGTTGCCTTCGATCTCATAGCGGACACTGTTGAAGAGCGCTACGCCATACTGCTCCTTGTAGCACCGGCAAAATTCCCCCAGCACCTTCCTCGTCTTCTCTGCGAGGAGAGAGCAGAGCCACGTGAGACAGGGGCTGGATTTGGGGGTCTCCAGGCCACAGACCACCCGGCACCCTGCTCAGACACCTTCCCTCTGCCCTGCCCACCCACTCCACACCTCCCACCTCCCTCCTGCCTGCTGGAGCAGGGGTCGGTGAAGGGCTGCAGCCCTCTCCCCTCCCCATCCAGCCCAAGGACTAATTTGGGGTTAGGATGATTTTTTTTTTTGGCCTTTCACGTTAATGCCATAGATTCCTCTCCCCAGCAGGAAATTCCTGACATTAAGCTGATTCCGGCGATGCTGACGGCTTCCCGCGCCTTGTGCAGCTCCCCAGCCCTGCTCCAACCGTCCTGGCCAGCTGAGATTGGGGGGAAACCACCCCCCACCTCAGCCCCAAGCATCACTCACACCCACCCAACCCACCGTGCCCCATAAGGGCCATCCTACGGGATGGGGCTGGGTGGCTCCAGGCTCTGCAGCCAGCGATGCTCGGGGCCGTGAATGCAGTGGGGGGATTTGAAGGGGAAAGGAGAGCCTGGTCCTCACCACCACACTCCCCATGCCACCCCCCCATGTAAGGCAGGGACTCCCACCAGGACCCCTGCCCCCAGAGCAGGGTGAGCCTGAGCTGCTGGGACAGCTTGAGCTGCCCTGTGCCCCCCTGCATGCCACACCAGAGGGGATCCCCTCCATCCCTCTGGCAGACAGCACCCTGCCCTCTCCCCTCCCCACCCCAGCTCGACCCCCACATGGGGCTCCTACACCAAAAACCCCACCACAAAGCATCACAGGTCCAGGGAGACAACATCCCACAAGCTGCCTTTGGCACACGGGGCCTCTATTTTGATTTTCACTCTCAACTTTGCCCCAGAGCCTGTGAAAAGGAAAGAATTTGAGTCGCCTCCAACTATTTCCGACGGCTCAGCCTCTGCCAGAGTGCTGGCGATGGGCGCGGGGAGGAATGACGCTGGCTATGCATCCCCAGTGTGGGAGCCAGCACGATGCTGGGGGCGTGAACCCAGACAAAACAGACCCCCACGCCGGCCCCGGCACAGCTCCGCAGGAGCCAAAATCTCCAGCAGCAGCTGCCCCGGGGCCACGCTTGCAGCCAAGCCTGCACGAAGGAGCAGCTTGCTTCAGGGTGCTGCAAATCCCCAGGGGATGAGCAGCTCGGGAAGAAAACGCCGCCCGAGGACAGAGGCCGGGGGCAGATAAACCCATCCCCGAGGAGATGCTGGCACTGCCACGGGAGCAAACACCGCACCTTGCCATGCCGGGGGGCTCAAGATCCCTTTAAATTTAAGCAACCTTTTTTCATGGCAAAGAACAAGACGCCTGCTTGTCTTAGCAGAGAAATTCCTCACCCCCGATTTTGGCATTTTCTCCTGCAAAAGAAAGAGCTCGCAGTCATGTCGCGCTTGCATCTGCACCACACCTCTGTTGCAACTCCCATCTACAAAACTCTATGATTTTGGCTGGGGCTCTGGGCAGCGATGCTGACAGCTGAGATTTAGAAGGACATTTTGAGGTTTCATTTCCTTTCAGTCCATGGGAATGAAAGAGCCCCTGGTCCCTGGGCAGGCGAGACGGCTTAGTCACTCATTCTTCCCTGATTAACGACGGAGCCAATTAGGAGGTTTTAAATGGAAAAGCAAAAGTCGATTACTTGCAGACTTTGAGACAAAAGATTTGCAGTCAAATATACAAGGTGACTAAATCTCCCCCAGCTCAGCAAGCCCCCCCCCGGGCGCAGAGGGAATGCTGTGGGGCTGCTGATGCTCCCTGGCTGCCCTACCAGCCACCACGCTCAGCCCTGGGCAAGCAAGAGGGACAGGGACCCACGGCGGGGTCGGGAGGAGGTGGCCAGCAGCGTGGCGAAGAGGTGACACAAGGTGACATGGTACCGAGCAAAATCTGGTCTGCTGGCAGTTGTATAGCTGGGCTTTGCTTGAGAGCTGAGGATGGGAAGCCTGTGCTGGTGATGCCAGTGGCTGCCCCAGCCCCCCCATGCCCATAGCACCCTGCGTGGGGTTCACGTGTCCCACGTGGGAAACAGCTGGGCCACCCACCAGCTCCTTCACCAGGCTGAATTAAACCTCTCAGCAGCGCTGGGGGCTATGAAGAGCATCCCCCCCCTCCCTGAGGATGCACAACCGAGGCCACACACAAGCAGCCGTCCCTCTACAAGCAGCTCTGGTCAAGAGCTGGGGGGTTTGGGGACAAGTGGCAGTCCAGGGAGCTGCGTCCCCTCTCTCCTCCTGGTCCCTTGCCTGAGCTCCCCCCAGCTCATGGCAGGTGAGGGAGGGATGGAGCTCAACTGGCTCCCACCCAGCCACTGCCCCGTCCTGGGTGGGGGCTCAGACACCCACAGCAAAGCGCTTCGGCAAGCTGGGTGCACCCGCAGGGACTTCACAGGGTGGTGCTGGGTGTCCCCAGCCACCTACAGACGGTGCTTTTCCCAGGCCTGGTGTTTGTTTTGGGACCACTGAGCTCCCGGCACCGCCACCCTCCCGCTGCGCCGGGTGCCACCACCCCAGTCCCTGTCACACCGAGCCCCACCCTCTGCAAACAGCACCGTGCAGAGGCACCAGTCCCCAGGCAGCCAGGGTTGCTGGGCTGGCACAGGCTCCGGCACGTCCCTCTGGTTTCTGGCAAGGGCAGGGTGAAGCCACCAGCTTTGTGATTGCAGACGGGTGCCAGCAGCACCCACCAATGCCTGGCTCAGCACGAGCCCCAGCACCAGCACCTCTGACCACAGACTTCATCTGTTCCTCGGCCTCCGGGTTCCCCTCCTTCCCTCCGCAGCCGTCCCCATGACTAAGCCGCACGTGGCGGCTGCAGGAGGAGATAAAGGGGCTCAGCAGCGGCCGGCTTTGCACAGGGAGGGCAGAGAAAGGGCTCCGGGTATCCCAGCACCCGGGTAAAACCCCCGAGGCCAGGCTGGGGCTGGGTGGGATGCGGGGAGCAAAGAGAAGGGTCCCGCTATGCCACATCAGCTCCGCACCCCCCGCCACCCTCCAGCCCTCCCTGCCCGGTCCCCAGGGACCCACGCACCCTCCCCATCACCTCCCCAGCCAGCACCGCCACAGCGGGCACGGCAGGGCAAGCAGCTCCCGTGAGGACACCCTGGCAGGGGCACGAAACGGGCAGCACAGGTTTGCCCTTGTCCCGGATGACACCTGAGGACTGCGGAGCCTGAGGCTCATCTCGGCGAAACTGGCCGGGAGAGGTGGCTCCAAGCTCCTGCCCACCCCCACCCCGACCCACCACGCCACCGCCGCTGTCACCGAGCCCAAAGCAGCGCTGGCACAACGGCACGGGCCAGGCGGGAAGGCAACAGCACCGGAGCAGCCGGTGCCACCAGCGATGCGCGGTGCAGCCCCAAAGGCGCGTGCAGCCCTCGTGTATTCAGAGGTCACAGCCCGGCCAGAGCAGCCCTGGTCCAGTTTTAGTCCCTTTGAACCAGGGCAGGAGGTGGATCTCACCCGCAGAAGGACTCCAAAAGCTGCCGCAAGCTGCCCAAGCTGGTCCAGCAGCCTGGGCTGGCTGGGTCCTGCCCTTAGAAGCATCTCCAGCACCATCAGCAGCCCCACACATCCACATCCCAAGGCAGAAGTCAGCTCTTATCCTGACCTCCCAGATGACCAGGGCCAGCCCCAGCTCTGGCATCTCTTAGAGCAAAGCCAAGGGGAAGAAACAAGCCATGAGCTCCAGGTCTAGCCCAGAGACCTTATCACCCAGAGAACAGCATGGACACCTTGACCATATCCTTCCCTCCAGCTGCCTGTATTTGCTGCCTGCTGTTCATTTCACCGTGGTGGGGAGAGCAGGGATCCAGACACACCGTCCTGGCAGCTCCTGGCTTGCAGAGAGCCCTGCCAGCATGAGTGTGTGGCCAGAGCTCATTTCCCTCACTACCCTCGAAATCATGTGAAAATGAGAGTGATGCTTTAAATAGCCCAGGCCGTGGCCGGCAGACTCAGCGGATCTGGCAACGGGGAGGTCAGATCCTGCACAGGTTTTGCTGCACAGTTTGCTTGGCTCCCACCCAACAGCGGCCCCCTTCTCACTCACAGAGGATGGAGAAGAGGGTGCATCCATGACCCGTGGAGGTAGCTGCAGGATCAGAGCTGCTGCAGCATCACGGCACATCCCAGGCGGGACAGAGCCCGGCAGGGACAGGGACGTGGCTCAGCTCCCCCCAGTGGGGCTGGGGACCAGCTCAGCCTCCCCCAGCACAGGGCTGAGCTGCACGCCGCCGGGCAGGCTCCGCTGGGGATGCTCAGCAAAGCTGCTCTTCGGATGAGCATCACCCCTGGGCCCCTTCAAAGGTACCCAACAAGCTGAGGTTGGAGATGTCCTTTCCCCTTTCCTGATGCGGCAGGATCTTGGGTGGGCAGCAAAGGGTTAAAGCTTAAAGGGGGGGGGGGGGGGAAATAGGGGGAGGGTGCAGAGCTCCTCTGCACCCAAAACAGCCTTCACCCCTCTGCACCCCAGCAGGAGCCAGGCCAAGGTCCTGGCAGCTGTGCCTTTGGGGACGCAGAGCTGCCTCCTGCTCCCTCACTCCCTCCGGGCTGGCCTGGCTGCCCCCCAGGGCATGGCCCCCCCCCCCCCATGGTCCCCCCAGGGACAGGGAACGGGGCCCCCAGTGCTGTGTGGGGTGGCAGCAAGCATAAACAGCCAAGGGGGAGCACCCTGGCTGTACCCAAGGGGCTGGGGCTCTCCCAAATTCACCCCCCCCGGGGTGCGTGGGGTGTGGGGGGGAACACGACACGACACAGCAGGCACCGGGTGCGGTGTGGCTGCGTGGCTCCTGCTTGGAGCAGCACAGGTATCCACGCACAAACGTGAACACCCCCCACGCACACAGACATGAACATGCACACCCCCACGCACACCCGTGCACACTCACACACGCACAACCCCCCCCCCCCCAGAGGCTGGAGGCCAGTGTCTGACAAATCCGAGCGGGAACAGTCATCTGCAACCTCCCTTCAGC